GTCAGGACCCCGCCGCTGCTCGGGTCCTGGGGGCCTCGTGGGCAGAGCCGCGGTCATAGGGCGTCGCAGGGCAGCGGGGCGGGGGCTGGCGGCCTTCGGGGATGGGAGGGTACGGGCAGCGCGGAGGGGGCGGCCGGCCCCCCGAGGGAGGCCAGTGCGCGCGCACAGCTTCGGGCGTGAGCGGCGCCGGTCTGGCCGGTTCGGCGTTCGTGTGGTGTCAGTTCACACCGGCAGCCGAAGTGCAGCAGCAGCGGGGTGGTAACTGTGGAGGAGAGGCCCGAGCGGTCGCTTGGTCCCGCCCGGGCGAAGCCCCCTCTCGAGATAGCCGCACGGGCTTGCACACCCGGCCGCAGGGCGCCCACTGCCTCGCGCGGAGCTTGCTGGACGCATCTAGCAACCTGCCTGGGCGAAGGGGACGTTTCTAGTTTGGGAGCGGGCGGAGCACAGCATTGGGTCGCGCCAGCCCGGAGGGTGAAGGTGGAGAAGTGGCCGCTGATGCGGAGCAGCAGGGCGAGAACCGCTGGAGCGAACGCTGTGGCTGACCGCTGCACCTGTGCTGTGTGGCCTCGCAGGGCCTTAGTTTCCCCTGTGTGAAGAAGGAGAGTTTGAACTAATGACTGCCGAGGTCCCTCCCACTCCTGCCGCTGGCTGATTCCATGAAGCTTCCGCCTCTGTTTGCCTTTGTCTTGCATTTAGTTACTGGACCCATTCAGAGTGCAGAGTGACCCCGGCCTTGGTCATGTGTCTGACCAGAGGAGGTAGCAGCAGGGGCAGTGTGTGCTCCACCTGCTCTAGCCCTGCCTGCTCAGGGCCACAGCCCACCCCTTCACTGTCACCTCGGGATGTGTGCTGCCCAAGTTGTCCAGTAATTGGCTGGCACTTGGTGTGTGTCAGACTCTGCTGAGCACTTTAGATGTCATACCTCACCTTGCCTCTCCACAGTCGAGTAAGGTCCGTTGGCCCCGTGGTGTCGGTTTGTCTGTCATCCAAGTGACTTGCCCAGGGTCACACAGTTAACAAGTGGCAAAGCCTGGGGACTGTTCCTCAATTTGCCTTCCCCTTGGTTTCACAGACTTGTTGCCCTGACTTAGGGAGAGCACTCATCCTGGGGTACGTTTGTTCCTGCTGCAGACCAGCGTGATGATTTGGTATCTGAGAGATGGAGCCAGTAACCCTCAGGTCAAACTGAAGCTCTGCTGTGTTCTCCTACATGTAACCTTAGGAACTTCAGTTTCCTCTTCGGTAGTACGGGCAGAATCAGGCTGACTGTGTTCCTGCAGAGCGAAACCTTTGGAGTGAGGCAGGCGTGGATTCAGATCTCAGCCTGGCACTCCGAAGCAGTGTGTTGAAAACTAAGTGACAGGAGTCTGTAGGGCCTGATTGCGGGGCGTGGTCAGTGTGCAGTAAATGCTGGTTGTCTCTCAATGACAGTTCACTGTGTGTGTGTCAGGTCATCACGGGAGGCCACTACGATGTTGACTGCTATGTGGAGGACCCCCTGGGCAACGTCATCTACAGGGAAACCAAGAAGCAGTACGACAGTTTCACCTACCGCACCGAGGTCAAGGGCGTTTACCAGTTTTGCTTCAGCAATGAGTTCTCCACCTTCTCGCACAAGACTGTTTACTTTGACTTCCAGGTGGGCGACGAGCCCCCCATTCTCCCAGACATGGGGAACAAGGTCACAGCTCTCACCCAGGTGAGTGAGCCCCCAGCCCCTAATGATAGGGCCACATGTCCTGCTCTGAAGGCTCCTGCCCTCCTTCCTGTCTCCCTTGCTGCTCTTTGGCCGTATCCCTGAGTATCCAGCTTCCCTCTACGTCATTCCCGTCAGTCTGTCTTTCATGCCTCTGCAGGGGTGACGTGTCTGCCACGGAGACCGAAGTCTACTGTGTTGGTGTGAGGGCAGCACAGCTGCTGTGACACATCAGCACAGGACAGTGCACTGACAGGAGAAGTTTTCCCTCCTGCAAATCTAAGAAGGCTGGTGGGGCTTGCCTACGTGGCACGACTCAGCAGCCAGATGCTGCTTGCTTTCTTAAGTTTCTGCCCTCCTGGGGCTTTAGAGTCTTCTGCCTGTCGCCACCAAAGGGAGGAGAGAACAAGAAGGGCTTCCATGTAGTCACACACGTCACTTCTGCTCGGGTCCTGGCCAGCAGTGGCCGCTCAGCAGCAGCTCCACACTGCAGGGCACTGCGGATGCTGCTGGGGCTCAGGCAGCCACCCCTGTCCCCGCCTGCTCTGGGATTTGTTAGGCCCTGACCCCGCCTCCTTCATCCTGCCTCCCTCCCACTTTTAATCAGCCCTTCCTTCCTCCCACCCTGCAGGCTCAGGCTTCCTGAGGGCTGAGGCTCTGGAATCTGCCTTGTATCCACCCTCTGTGGAAGGTGTGGTGCTGGAAGAAATTCGCCAGGTGTTTGTTGAATGCCTGTCGGGCTCTGAGGAACCTGTAAGACAGGATCAGCTGTCCCTAGCTGTGCTTATTCCAGAGTCAAGACCAGGGCGTGTGGAGCCTCTGGAGGTCAGGTGGTGTCTGGCTGCTCCCCAGGGTGACCATGATCCCTGCTCCCCTGCGGCCCGGGGCACACTCCTGGAGTCCTTGGGTTGCCAGATCTGCCCTCTTCCCTGAAGTTAAGGTGGTGCCAGCCAGCACAGAGGAGCCCTTCTTCCTCCGTACTGGCCACTCATGAGGCTGTGTCACCCAGGTGGCGCGTGGCCACAGTTTCATGCAGGTAGTGGTATGACTGGCTGGCTTCAAGCGTCCAGCCAAGGGCAGGGTTTGCAGGCAGTGTCCTCTGCAGCCAATGAAACGGCCTTCTCTTGGAAGATGTCACAAGTCTGAGCTGAAGACATCCTCATGAACCGGCGCAGGGCGTGCTTGTCAGAGAAGGGCGTGATGCGTGAGGTCCGCAGAGGATTCTTTCCTGGAGCCTGAGCCTTAGGGTCTGAGTCTGTTGCGTGTAAGATTGGCTCCGGCTTCCCTCTTGTGCCTCTCGGAGCCCTTGCCTCCTTGCTGCCTTTGGAGAGGGATTTCTGCCGCTTCTGTAGCTCTGCGGCCTCTGCCTAGAGCCAGGTGCACCTGTGCAGGCATTCACGCCACCTGCCCGCTGGGCCGAAGTGTGGCAAGACACGTGGTCTTGCTGGCCAGTTTGCTTGCAGCACTGTGGCCAGGGTGAGGCTTGATGGGCTCGGGGTCTTGGAAGGTCCAGGCAGTGCTGCTGAGAGAGCCAGGCAGGGCTCCCGCAGAGCGAACTGTCGAGCTGCCGGGAATGTGTTGGTCATGGGAGCGGGAAGGGCCTCCCAACATGGAGCAGAGCAGAGATGACAGCTGTGACCTTTGGTTTTGATCAGCTGGGCGTGGGTCCCCTTTTAGCCAGTGGCTGTGGTCTCCATTGCCCTAGAAGTAGGCTGGGCGTCTGCCTGACAGTTTTGTGGTAATGAGGGAAAAGGTTTCTTTCTGGCTCATGCTGACAGGGTCCCAGCAGGTAAGGAAATAGCAGGCTTTCATTGTTGGGGCCTCTGTGACTCCCGGCAGTGAGCTGTTTCCAGGTTTCTCGGGGTGTGGATGTGGTCTGTGTCCCAGAGGACTCAGCAGTGTTGAGAAGTTGTGGGCCAGCGCTACTGCATCCAGCCTGGGCTGGTGTCTGAGGAGCTCCAATCGGCCGAGTCCAGTGCACACGTGCAGCTCCTAACTGCAACAGAAGGAAACTTGGAGAATGGGTTTCTAGCCTGGAAACCCAAGTGAGTGTTCTCCTAGTATTTACAAACAGAAGTCTCTTCCGGTTTATAGGAATAAAATGTGTGTATGTGTATGTACATATTTATATACATGTATATGCACACACAGCCATGCTGTGCACACATGCACGCACACACACATTTGTTTATCCATCCCTCCCACTAATTAATTGCAGGAGGCCTTCATTGCTGAATCCCCTGACCTCAGCACTCCAGATCCATTCCTGCCAGACACGGTGACCGGGAGTGGGGGTCTTGTCTCTGGCAGGACTGTGGTGACGTGCCGATTTCCAGGCCTGTGCTGCTGGTGCTTCTGACACCTGGCTCTTTCTGTCCCTTCGTCAGCTTGCAGCTTACTCTTCCTGTGTCTGGTCCCCTTCTCCTCTGATAGGATTGGCTCCTTTCTCCGGGGGTTCCTGCAGCTCTGCACACCCCTCTGGTTACAGCTTTCGCTTTTTGTTACAGTTGGTTGGCTTTTCCTTGTAGTTGTGAATGACTGTCTTGCTGAGTCTGGGTTCCCAGAACCCAGACTCTTTCGTACCAAAAAAGAACCCAAACCCTTTCGTACCTGGAAGTGCCCAGAAGACAAGTAGGCATTTAATGATGTTTGAATGCATTAGTGGACCTGGGCCTGGTTTGAAATTCCTGTAGCGTCATTTTACTGTGGCCCCGCCCTGCCCCCTGAACTGGTCTCCCAGGATCTCCAGTTGATAGATGCGTGGAACTAGCTTGTTCACCTGTGCCCAGGTCATAGAGGCTGGTCCTGGGAGGCTGTGACAAGCCTTGTCTTGACTCAGCTGACCCCACACCGTGGCTTCTTCTTAGTTCCTTCCTAGCTCAGGCCCTGCTCCGTCTCCATGATGTTGATGTGCCCTGGCAGTCTTAGTGGGCAGGCAGGGAGCAAGCTCACCATCCCCTGCAGGCAGGTCTGCCTCAAGTGGCCCTGTCTGGAGGTTGAGCATTTGCAGCCAGTCCCATGTCAAGAGCCGTTCCGGGATCTTCTGCTCCTTTCTCATGTCAGATGTCTTTGGGTCCCAGCACCTCAGCACATGGGTGAGGGCACTGTCTGGAGAGAGCGTAGTGTGTAGTATGTGGTGGTACTCAGACACACCGGCAGCCACTGAGAAACAAGGTACAGGTACCCTTGGCGCTCGTATTGGAGCACGATGGGCTCCTTCTCCCTGGGTTGTGCTGGTGCCCTGTCCACCCCTCAGTTCAGATCATGTTGCGTTTCTTTCTGGGTGACATTGTCCCCCTCCAGCCGCAGGTCAGCAGAGGTACAGCCACGAGGCACAGAGGAAGCCCTAGCTTTGTAGAGAGGGGCTGTGGGGGCGCTGCTGTTCCCTAGGCAGTGCAGCTCCCGCGGGGAGGCCTCGTCTCGTGACTGTGGCTCCCCACCGTGGCAAGAAACAGGTTCTGGGAGACAAAGCTTCCGCGGCTTCTTATGCAGTGCGTTGCGAGCAATTTGCCTTTGAGGCCGGGTGTGTGGTGCTGGGGATATAGTGATGTCTGCAGCCTGGTATCATGGCTGGGGACGATCGTCTCACACGGGGCAGGTTCCATAGGTGCAGAGCCATGTGTCCTCGTGACTGCCGAGTGACTCCCAGCCCCACCCACAGCGGTGCTGCACCCTGCTCGTTCCTCGAAGCTCCGTCCTACGAGGCCAGGACGGAGGTGTAGGTCAGCGTGGGCTCTGAGCCGGAGGCCCTGGGGAGCAGCTGCTTCACTCTCACAGGGCTGCCATTGGGCCCAGTTCTGTGCCACCACAGGGCCGGGGTCCTTGTCTGGCTGCCATCTGTTGTGTTCTCAGCCTCTTGGGCACTTAGCCAGTCCTGCAGGTGGTCACTTCTGTGGAGAAAGCTGCCTTGTGGACATGTGTAAGCAGAGGCCTCGGGGTTCCTGGTCATGGAGTGGAGCTCTCAGGGTGCTGGCCAGGGTGTTCTCAGAGTTCCACCTTCACACGGTATTTTAGCAGGGGCAGGGATTTGTCTGGTATGGTGTGAGTGTAGGTGTATGTGTGTGCATACCTGTGTCTGTGTGTTTGTGACCTGAGAAGAGGATGTCCTTTCCAGCCTGTGTTAATGCATAAAACTGTTGGCATCGGTTACACAGCAGAAGCAGGAGAGCCAGAGTCCGAACGGTTGAGGTCTGGTCCACCTGCTGCATTAGCCATGTACCCCAGCGATGTTTGTGGCCTGGTCCAGCCTCAGTTTCCCCATTAGCACATGTGCGCATAGCCAGCATTGCTTGATGACAAGGGTGATGACCTTCGTGTCTGCCTCTCACAAGGATTAAATAAGAAAGCGGGCGGTGAGCACGGGCGTGGGCTCCTGACCCTGCCACCTACCAGTGGTGTCGCCAGCAAATTGTCTGCTGTCTCTGGGCCTCGGGTGGGCTTTCCGCTGGGAGTAAACAGGACTGGGTAGACCCTCTGCACAGACAGCAAGTTAGCACTCGGGGCTTCCCTGATATCAGCGACAGGTGGGCTGTTGGTTGGCGTCCACTGTCCCAGGTAAGTGCTGTGACTGCTCGTGTCTTCTGCCCAGATGGAGTCTGCTTGTGTGACCATCCACGAGGCTCTGAAGACAGTGATCGACTCCCAGACACATTACCGACTCCGGGAGGCGCAGGATCGAGCCCGAGCTGAAGACCTCAACAGCCGAGTCTCCTACTGGTCCATCGGTGAGACAATTGCCCTGTTTGTGGTGAGCTTCAGCCAGGTGCTACTGCTGAAAAGTTTCTTCACAGAAAAACGGTCTGCTCACCGTGCCGTCCACTCCTAGCCCAGGCCCCAGGATGGAGCAGCGCTCCTGGGTGCCAGGTTCTACACACCTGATTCCTTGCACTCCACAGAGCACCCACAGAACTCAGTGACCCCAAGGCATCCAAGTGCAATCTGTGCACAGCATTGACTGGAAGAACTTACGGCTAGGCAGGGGTTGCGCCATGAGAGGGCAGTGGGGCCCATGCCGGGGCCTCCAACACCCCTGAGGGTTTGGCTTCTGCACCATCATGTCTGAGTGCTGTGGCCTTGGACCTCCTCCCAGTGGGGAGCAGTGGCGCTCTTCACTCCGGCTTTTCTCCTGTGGGACTCTGCACCTAAGGAAACCAGGCCCTGAAGCAGCTGTGCACATCTGCCTACTGCAGGCACAGCAGTGTTGGCCAACGGGCAGGACCCAAGTGAGGACCACGTGCCTTGGCCAGCCCTGCATCTCCCAGGAGGTGGGGCGGGACTAATAAAGACACCTGTGAGCACCTGCAGGTGTGTGGCTTCTTCGTGGTCCCAGAAGAGCTCAGAGCCCCCCAGGGAGCCTGGGTGTACAGACACGGGGGACAGCAGGCCACTCCTCCCAGGCAGAGAACAGGAACAGGAAGGCCCTTGCTTCCCGTCACTCCAGGCAATGCTGCAGGAATACCCTTGTCCTGCGCCTCATGACCTGCTAGTCCTTGCCGCTGACCGGACGGAGTCCTCCCTGAGTCCTCCGTGCAGCACCATTTCCCTGTCCTGTGAGGGGAAAATGAACTCTTCTTGAACAAGGTCTGGAGGGAGGAGGTGACGTATTGTAAAGAACACGTGCCGAGAGACCTGACACCCGGAGCTGTCTGGCAGGTGTTTAGTGATACATTGTAGGAAAGGGGTCAAAGCAAGGTTCAGTCCCCAGTGCTACAAAATTAATTAATTAATTAATTAAAAAGTAAAAGGAGCAAAGTAAACTATCTTTTTTAGAAGCCTGATGGACTTGATTGGAAGATAAATGCTGCTTATCTTCCATATGTTTGTGTGGTGTTTCTTTCCTGTCTTCCATTGTAAAGTTAAATACTGGGTAGATATAAAAGACTGTGTATGAACTCTGTCCAGGACAGAGTGGAAGACACTCCCGAGTCCCTGTGCCCCTCCGAGCCCTCGGTGAACAGCAGGGCGTGACCTTCCTCTCCAGTCCCTAACCACCCGGTGTGCTCCCCTACCCTGGGACCTTCCAGCCCAGAAGTGGTATCTCCACCACTGAGAAGGTTGAAGTCAAAGGAAATCGCTCTCATAAAACTCCTGACTCACTTTTTCATAGGAACAAAATTTTCCAATCTGGAAAAAAAAAAAAGAATTCCTGGTGACTTCCTGCTTTATTTATATAACTTTAATCATTCATCCATAAAAACACAGACTGGAGGGGAAACCCTGCCCCAGTCATTAAGTTAAGAGATAATATTTGTATAGAACTCATTTCTGTGGGGGGACTGGACATAGGGCCTTCACACTGAGCGAGGCACCGGACTCTGAACCTTCATCTCTTCTGAACTTAAGAAGGAAAGGGAAAGGTGGAAAGTTGTGAACAGGTATTTATGGATGATGATAGGTGTCAATGCATGTGATTGTTAGATGTAGGGATGTGACTTTAAAAATTTTCAAGCTTAAAATATAAGAGAAATCATCTCCTTACCTCTCCATTGATGATGAAAAGTTGTAGACGTTAGTGTAGAAATACCTGAATGTTTATGTATCTCTTGGAGGATATTGAAGAACAAGAAATGATGCTGCTTTGCTCTTGTTACGGTTTATACCTAGATGTGCCCCAAGCCCCTTGCAATCGTAAGTGCAGCTTTGGGGAGGGGTTGGTCACAGGGCATGACACAGTTGGTGGATTAGTCCATGGTGAGGTTATGGCTGAGCGTGCCTCAGAGCCAGGTTGCGGGAGGTGTGACTGGGGAGGTGTGTCTCCCTTCTCTGCTTCCTGGCTGCCGTGATATGAGCGGCTTTCTTCTGCCAGACGGTTCCACCCTGCCATGGAAACCGAAACTTCTAAAACGAGAGCCCAAATAAGCCTCCCTTTAAGCCCTGGGTGCCAGGCATTTTGTCCCAGGGATGGGAAAATTGAGGCAGTGCTGTGCTGAGTTTCCCTGGGAAATATGGTCCCCTTGAGCCTGGGCACCTTGGTGGAAAAAGGTGTTCAGCATTGGCATCTGAGTGGGAGTACAGGGTTGGGACCTTGCGGATTTGAATCCACGTCTGCCACACACTTAATGTGCCATCTTGGGCAAGGTGCTGAGCTTGGGACCTTTGCTTCTCATCTGTCAGTGGACACCGCAGTATTCTGATGGAGAAGGGACAGGGCTGCACAGAGCTGGTAAGCAAAGCCAGGCTTTGCCCTGTCCTCAGGGGCCCCATGAAATCCATTTGAATCGAAGGCCTAGATCTGCTGACAGGCGAAGTGTGGAGGCGCACCTGCTTGCTGAGGCAGTTGAGAATCCCCCTGATTAGAGAGGGGGCCTGTACCTCCAGTGAGATTTAGGATTATTGAGAGGAAATTTTAAGGAAGTGTCTGATGCAGTATGGTTTGCTCCATACCATAGATTTCAAGAAACAGCTGAGCTCCTCCAGGAAATCCTCCCTAGGCCAGGAGTCGGTGTGTGGTGCTGCCTGGCTGCTGGCGGTGCCACTGCTGCTGGCGGCTCTGTGGTGTGAAGGCTCTTGAGAAATAAGGCCTGGTGACTTCACGGTCAGACACTTTCCACAGAATAGCAGGGTGGGGAGGTTGCTTTTATTTTTAAAGATAATTTTCCAAAATGAAAGGATAAAATCAAGGCTCATACTGGTATCAGATGAATACATGGTAAAAAATTTTATTTTATGCATTAATGAGGGAACCAGATGCTACAGTGGCTCAGAAGAGAATTCAGGGAACAGACACACTTAGCCACATTGTAAAGTAGCTGTGAATAGTGGGTCAGACACCTGGGAGACTGGTGCTGTGAGGGAGACAGAAAAAGCTCAGGGCAGACTTTGGAATCGGATGGTCTGGAGGGGTGTCCAGAGATACAGTGTTTTGTTTCATTTTTTAAATTAAAACTCTTTACTTGCAAATGCAAAAGGGGCTGCTGAACCATGGGGGTGACACTGATTTCCAGTTTAATTAACAAAACCAGCTGTTCCATGTCCTCTAGCTCCATGAAGGCTTACCCGTAGGCCTTAGGTGTGGGCTGCGACAGGGTTCAGCTGTTGTTCGTCTTGAGGCTTTACCGTAATCTTCTCATTTTCTTTAACTCCACTCAACCTTTATTAATATTCCTGCACTACATTCTCAAAGTAGGAAGGAGAGAGGGAAGAAGGAAGGAAAAATCAGTTGTAGATTCTGGGCGCTATTGAGAATATTTGTGTCCTGCTCTCCCCTAGTTCATATGTTGAAATCCTGCTGCAGGGTGGAGGTGTTAGGGAGTGGGGCCTCAGGGAGGCAAAGGGGTCACAAGGCAGAGAATGGCATCAGTATCCGTATGAAACAGGCCAGAGTGAAGACAAGACAGGGCCACCCATGAGCCCGGAGGTAGGGGTGACCAGACACCAACCCCATGGGGCCTTAGTCTGTGGCAGCCTGAACAACTAAGACACTTAAAAACAAGAATGAGTGGAATAAAACCGCAAAAATGCACAGCCACCCTAGGGAGGACAGCGCTGGCGAGAGCTGGGCATCCTCACCGTGCCGCAGGTCCTTGGAGCAGAGAGGTGTGCACTTGGGACTTGCATCCTGCGGGGAGTGCTAGCACAACCCGTGTGAAACGTGCACAGTTTCTGCTCTGTGCTCACAAGCCAGCTGTGATGGACCTGTGCTTTAAACATCAGAGCCTGTTGGTGACGCGGCTAGGTGGACGTTCACGCCACTCCTTGTTGGGACTGCCACTCAGCAGCTCGGGTTTGGTCCTCATTGTCCAGCAATCATGTGATCTGCTCATTTGAGGAGTAGTCTACCTTTTCACAAATAAGCCTTTCTAAATAAAATGTAAAATGCTTGTTCATGTGTGAGCTTGGCTAGTAGCTGCACCTGAGCAGTGGCCCTATCTTTTTCTAAAATGCCTCCGTGTATTTGGAGGTTGTGTGAGAATACTAAAAGTTGTACATGGTGTGATCAAAATACACAGTGGATGTTGAAATTTTTCAAAATATTCTTATTACAGTAAGACGCTTGGGCATTAATCCCCATCAGAATACTCCCTATGGCTTCACATGCACTTAGCCCGTTGTTCTTGCTACTTTCAGAAGCAGTTCTGGAAGTCTTCTTTCGTGAGTGTCTTTACGAGCTGTGATAAAAAGTAGGTGAGTGCTGCTGCCAGGTGCCAGCCACAGAAGCAGGCCGGTGAAAACACAGTGTGTTCTCTTCTACCTTACTCACCAGATTTGGCACCATGCGATTTCTGGCTCTTTCCCAAAGTCAAAATGACTAAGAAATGTTTCCAATCAATTGAGGACATCAAGGCAGCCACAACAGTGTAACTAAAGGCATGAAAGAGGACTCCAGAGCTGCTTCAGAAAGTGGCAAGAAGGATGAGGTAAGTGGTTTGAAGCTGGGGGAGGCGTTTGAGGGGTATTAATGGCAGTGTGTCTTTACTGTAATAAATTTTTAAAAATTAAACACTGCATTCTTGAGTCATCTTAGTAGAATATAGTTACCGTTGCTCTGTGCTGCACAGATCGTTGGAGGCTGTCCTGCTGTTCATAGGTGAAGCTGCCGCTGCCTGGCTGTAGCAAAGGCCAGTCCAGTGTCTTTCTTTCTCTTGGAATCAGATTGACCATTAAAGAGCTCTCTTTCTTCGTAACCATGTCCACTGCAGAAGACAGAGGCCCAGGTGGCCCATGGCTTGTGTGGTCAAGAGGAGGAAAGGTCATACTTTGCCTCTGGGATCACTAGGCAACCTCTCAGTTATAATCTGGATCCCTGTACATTCTGCCTTCAAGAAGAGAATATATTTGAGTTGCGATTTTAATTGTGAAAGTTTTGAAAGCGACATTCTTTTAATTTATGAAGTTATACTTCAAGCAGTTGGGATGTTAACTGGAACTGATGTATTCTCGCCTGCACAAGGCAACCACCTGCTGCTCAGGCCCACAGCCTGGTGGCTCACCTGGGAAGCCCTGTGTCTACTCTCAGCCATGCTCAGGAATGGGCTCTAGACCGGGCTCTGTGGGCTGTAGCCATAAGCTGCATGTGAGTTGTGGGGTGAGCGTGTGATGTTTCCCGTCCTCAGGATGGCACCTGCCCAGTCAGCATCATCCACCTCAAGACGGAGAGACCACAGCCGAATTTGGGGAGCAGCCTGTGCCCCAGGAACTCAACACCCTGGCTGCGGAAATTGGCACAGGAAGTGGGGGCCAAGGTCCCCTAACGTCTCTGAGCAGCGCTGAGGAGGCACCTTGAGGAGAGCCCTTCTGCTCTGTCCTGCCCTCCTGTGTGCCTCCGGGTCTCCCCTTCACCCCAATCAGTGGCAGCAGCTGGGCGCTCAATCGCTCATGGCAGCTGTGAGCAGTTCCACCACCTGGGGTGTCGCTGCAGGGTTTTTTTGCGTCACACCTGGGACAGGAGTTCAAACTGAAGACCATTCTCATTCCAACTCAGTTCTTTCTAAGTGTCAAGTGAACTTTGGACCAAGTTGTCAAATACTGTTAGCAAGTGGAGCTTATCTGCTGTGGCTCTGTGTCCTGGGGCTCCCTGTCCTTATGCTCTCTTGGGGACACCAGCAGGGTCTGGCCTTTACCTTCTCTGTACCCACAGCAGGCACAGCAGGTCCTGGGCTCCCAGCCACAGAGAAGTGCAGTGAACTGAACACTGCACCTGTAGAAACAGGGTTGGTACTTTTAAATCACATGATAAACACACACTAAAGGAAAAGACTAAGAATGTTTTGCTGTAACAAGAAAGAACCAAGTGGAAATGTTACATATGAAAGTAGAAATGAATACTTCCTGGAAGAGAGAAAGGCAGCATGGGACACAGTGGGAGACCTCTGAGGAACCTTCCCAAGGCAGCAGGGAGGAGGGAGAAAAAGGCACCAAAAGAGTACAGGAAACAGGAGTGGCAGTGCAGGGGGCAGATAATCAGTGTCCTGGAGGGAGTGGGGAGGAAGGAGGAAAAGAAGGAAGAGAGGCAAGGAGGAAGGGAGGGAGGGAGAAGATACTTGAAGAAATAATGATATTTCTCAGAATTTTAAAAAGAGTGACATCTCAGATGGATAGGGGTCACAGAGCGACAAATAGGATTGAGAACTGACAAGGTAAAACCCCACATGGACACATTACAATGATGTGGAAGAATACCCATGGCAAAAAGAAAATTCCATATGACTTCAAAGAGAAAGAACTAACCTTGAAAATCAAAATAAAATGGGACTTCTTAGTAGCACCCTGGCAGGAATGGGCAGGAATTAGAGACATTCAAATGATATTTTACCAGAACCTTCCTCCCTGTAAGTCACTTAAAACTACTGGTTTTCCCCTAAAGGGATGGACAACAGTAGTTCAACAGTTTATTGTAATCACGAATTTATGCTGGGCAAGCAGGAAACCAGGTCACCATCGGTGAGCTTCCAGAGGCCCTGGTGGCCTCCCTCCTGGCCCAGGGACCTGGTCACAGTCTCCCACAGGTCCAAGACCTTCTGAACCACAGCTGGAGGATGCTGTGAACAAGAGCACTGGATCTGCAGGCTTTCGATGTTGGGTTTCAGGCTCCGCTCTTACATGGTGTGAGACATGGAGCCTAGCAGCCTAACTTCCTGTTTACCAGGCTTTCAGCTTCACAGGGAAAATCGTGGGTAAGTTGAAGTCCGTTGGCCACTGACTCTGGGTCTGTCCTAGAGGGATGACCGCTGGCATAGACATCTCACCTTGATTAGCTTCCTGTGCACTTCAGCATCTGCACAGTTCTCCACTCCCCATCCTGACTGCACGATGACAGTGGGACCACCTTTAACTCTGTGTGTCTTTGGACAGTCTCCTGGAGCACCAGAAGCCGGGATGATAGGTGCTCAGACACTGGCTGGAGCAGAACTACTGGGAACACCATTCCCCTGGGGCATTTCTTTAGGAAAAATTGTAACAGTGCAGGTAGAACATTGTTGGCCAAACTCACACCAAGCCAAGTGCAGCACAGGTTGTGGCACAAGTGTGGGGAAACCTGTTTTCCTAGCTCTGGTGGCAGTAAAAGACTGAGCTGTCCCTAGCATGGGTCTGCACACTGGTACTTTTGGGTTATGTGGAAAGGAACCATCTTTCACTTTAACTAAAACATAGGCCTTTCCACATCCTCAGAACCACTGAGCCAGTATAATTCTGGAGATTCCAACAGTTTTATGCTATTTTCCTTCGGCAGGTTTGCATTTCTCAGCCTAACATTTGGCCACAGGAGAAACAGGTTTCATATACAGCTTCTTCTAGTAACTATTTTCACACTTTTATCATCTTCAAGAAATCATTCCAGAACTCAGTGAGACAATCCTCTTTAGGAGAGTTACCCAGGGAGCCAAGCAGTGTAAACATATATTTTCTATGTTCTTAAAAAAGGAGAAACAAAGCAACAAAACTTCAGAAAAGGGCCACGTGGAATTGGAGAAGCAGTTCCAATACAGCAAAAGAGAAGAGAAGGCGCTGTCAAAGCTCGGGAGCTGTGTGGAAAAGGCAGGCGCCCGCTACAAAAATGACAGGGAGGAGAGGCCAAGAAAGAAGCTGGTCGCTGGAATCATAGGCAGGGACCGCAGAAAGGCTGGGGGAAGCCGCCCAAAGTAAAACAAAGAGGAGGGACAGACAGCCTGAGAGATTTGCACAACAAAGGGTGTTCATCACACAGTTGGTATCCTGAAGAAAACAACTGATAACCTCAAAGACATAGAAAAGAAAGCGTTCATAAAACTAAAGACTTAAACCTCGGTTTAAAAGGGTATCTTGCATTTCAGGAAAACTGAAACAGAATCATCAACACAGAATTGTCCAGGGAAAGATAATGAAATGATCAACAAAAAACTATTCAAGAACACATGAGGGCGAAAAGCAAGTCTTTTACTGGAGAAAGATTTCATGGGATTGCAAACCTTACCATGACAGCCTGGCAGAAGATGGTAGAGTTCTGTCTATAAGGAGCTTGGTGTGCATAGACCCAAGAAGAAGGGCAGCAGGAGGCCGTTCTAGGACTGGCAGGGATCCAGGTAATGGAGACCCATGAGCCATTCTTGAAGAAACTGCATCAAGCCAGGAAGAGCAAGAAGTCACCAGGAGAAGCATAGTGTAAACAGCATTTTACCTATTAAATGAGACCAGGCAACCATGGAAAATCTACATAAATTCTAATTGAAGCAGTGAAATAGCAAATAGTAAGAAATAGGGGGTAAGGGAAGATAGGAGAAAGTGTACATGTTAACTTTATTTTTCCTGATAGGTATTTGCTATAACACCAGTTTTTATAACTACGAGAGAAATTTGTTGGTTCTTGTTATGTGCCAGGTAGAATTCTAAGTGCTTTATGTGTAACATTTCATTTAACACTCACAACATCTCTGTGACATAGGAACTATTAATATTCCTATTTTACAGATTGGGGAAATTGAGGCAGAGAATGTAATAAACTTTTCCCAAAGCCACCTGCCTAGTAAATGAGGAAAGCTATTTGTTCATCTGCAAAATAAATAAGACCATTTCCATGCATCCCTGATGAAAATTTCTAATAGAGTCTCAGCCAGGGACGGGTGCTGACTGGAGGTATTGATTCCATCCATTAACTGTGGGGCCACTGAGAGGGGAACCTTGCTAAGTATAGGTTAGAAATGCTCTCTTCTCCTAATGCTATGGCTCTTCCTGATAGATGTAAAATGTCAAAAAGACAGAGACCCACTGGCTGGCTAGATCTCTGGAGAGCAAAGGACATTATTACCATAGAAAATGGTAGGACAGATCTTGGAGACTCCATCCACCAGAGCTAGCTGATTGGTCTACAGGATTGAGAGACATGGACATTTCCGGCTCTAAAAATACTTATGACTTACCAAGGACAACTTCCAAGTACCAAAGTGGAACTAAGAGTCAGTGCTCTGGGAGTCTGTCACCAGAGAAGGGGTGATGGCCATCCTTAGCTGTTCCGCCTGGGCCATGGTGGCTCCTGGAGGGCTGTGCCTTGCTACTACCAAGCTCCTGTCTATCCTGGGTTGTCATCACAAAGTGTGAATAGAGACGGGGCAGCTTGAACAACAAAAGTGAGTTCCCACACAGACTGGAGCCTGGAAGTTGGCTCAGGGTGTCCGTAGAGTTGGTTCCTCCCGCATTCCTCTTGTGGCTCAGAAAGGGCTGCCTTCCCCCTGCATCCTCGCATCTCAGCATGGGAATTTCGGTGGAGACACAGTTCAGCCTGTAACAAGTGATACCGGACAGCTGCCACACAACTTCCAACTTACGCTGCTTTTAGAAAATCGAGTTACGTTCTGTGCAGAACCACTATTTTGTCAAGATCACGTATTTCATAGCTTGTCTATTTTTTTATCTATCTTGTGAGTGATTACTTTTGTCTATTGTGAGCGATTAGTACCCCAATACCTGCAGGAACGTGCAGAAAAAGATGCCTGGAGTACAGAGAAGGCCGGCCAGTAAAATCCTGACTGCCACCTGAGGGCTGTAGGAGGATGAGCAATCGTGATCTCTCTCTCCAGAGCTTCAGTTTCCTCATTTGTAATTAAATATGATAATAAGAGACGTGTATAATGATGTTCACTGCAGCACTGTGTGTAGTGATGTTGACTATAACCCAAATGCCCTTCAACAGAGGAACAAATAAACAAAATGTAGCTACTCATATGTGGAATACTGTACTGCAGTTGGAGATGTGGAATAGCTCTCCACCCGGCAGAGTGAAATGACATCAAAACATATTGCAGAATGAAAGCAGTTACAGAATGTTACAGTGTGATACCACTTATAGCTCCCTAAAAGCACATGCAGAAAACAGTGTTCTGTATAACTTAAGGAAAAATGTGTGTAATTATATGCCATAAATATACATAGTAAAATTATAAAAACATAGTATATAAAATTGTAAAATAAGTTACTTCTAGGAATGGAGAGCGGAAATGGGAATGGGGAGGGACCTAATAGGGACTTTCACTTTATCTAGAAAGTGTTCTTTTTTAAAATTTTTAAGCAATTCTGAGGTATAGATGACAAAATATTAGCACTTGTTAGTTCTGGGTCACAAGTTTGTGGGTGTTAGTTATGTTGCCTTTTGTACTTTGCTGTATGAAAATACCTCAAAAAAAAAGTAAATACAAGGATGGCACTAGCATTTGCCTCATCTCTTAAAGCCATTGCAAAGTTTCAATAATAAAATATTTGTGAAAGTTCTCATCAAAATGAAAAGATATTAGGTTTCATAGCTAATCTGTTCTATTTACTATTCTATTAACTTTCTGCTATGGCTTATATCTAGATGTCCCCTCAGGCCTCACGCACAGGTGGGGGTTTCAGGAGGTGACTAGATCAAGGTGTGTGATACTAGACTGTGGGCGTGATAACTGGACTGGTTTAGCATGGTTCTGTACGGAGACTGGTTTAGCATGGGTCCTGGGTGTGGGTCGCACCAACCAATAGGTGCCTAGTCTGAGTGGAATAGGAAGGCTTACTGCCTGCCGTACCGTGGACTGTTTCTCCTCTGTGATGCCCCTCTGCCACACCACCATGGTGTGGAGCCCGCTGACTATAGCATGAACCCTTTACAAACTGAGTGAAAATAAGCCTTTCCTCCTTCAACTTTGGATGTTGGATATTTTGTTCCAGAAACGAAAAAGTAACCAGGACAATTCCATTTCAGAAGTCCACATTGTTTGGTATCTCCAAATGTGTGGTGATGTTGGCAGTGATCATGAGATGAGTGATCGTGACGGAGTGGGGGTGGACAGCAGCGATGGGGAGTGGTGGGGGTGGTGGTGGTGGTGTGGGGGTAATCGTGCTGGTTTTACTGGTAGTGCTGATGTTTCTGGTGTGGTGGTGATGGTGGAGATAGCACCGATGGTGGAGGATGATGGTGATGATGTTTCTGGTAATGGTGATGTCTGTGGTATGGTAAACTGGGGGTGGTAAAGATGGATGATGGTGGGGTGATGTTGGTGGGAATAATGGTGGCGGTGAGGGTGATATGTGTAGGGGTAAAGTTAGACCTCTGATCTAGCTCTCTGTCACACCATGCACTGCCACACAATTTCATACAGTTCCAGGCTGGGTGTCTTCTAGTAAAACTAAAGCCTCTAAAGCAACTTGCATGGATGTGTAGCTAACACTGCTCCTAAGAAACAGTAAATACTGCATTTAATATTGGAGTTAGCATTTTCTGTAAATTCCTGCATACTTGATCAGTTCTGTTTTCTTAGAGCTAAAGCAGTGTGAGAAGTGACCACCAGATGACAGTAAAGAAGTACAGAAGAGCCCAGCTGTACCTCTGGGATTGAACCCTGGTCTCCAAGCAGCAAGTCCCTCCTGCTGGGACTGTGTCTCTGCAGGACGCTCAGGCTGTGGGAACTCCAGGACATTCGAGGGTCACAGTGTGCCAAGCATTTCCTGACTGCAACTTACTAACAGACCCTGGGCTGGAACCGCCAGGCTGAGTCTCTCGAATTCCTGACACTGTGATGATAAGTGTGTGTTGTTATGACCTGCTAACCGTGGAGATGATTTGTTACTCCTAGCATATGGCAAACAGTCAATGGTGTTTGCTGTAATTGTTAATTAGGTGACTATTAAACGCAGAGAAGTTATTTCTCCAGACTTTTTTCAGTAAGTGCAATCATCTTCTCCATTCATCTCAGTGATGTGAGTTAGAAGTTGTATCATTCATTCACTCATTTTTCAGTAAGCCAAACTACTGGCCAGAAAGACATCATTCATACATTCACTCACCACTGTACACACCTACCTTGTCATCAGGTGTGCTGTGATCAAGGCCCTGGCTCCAAGGTGGCCGTGGGGTGATATTTGTAGGGAGTAAGTTAGACCTCTGATCTAGCTCTGTGCCACCCCACACACTGCCACATCATTGCATACAGTCCTGGGCCCGAGTGTCTGCTAAACCCTCTAAGGACATTTGCAGGGTTAGCCAGCTCAATAAGGCTTCTTCAAGGAGATGGTCCCAGGATGGGCCTTGAAACCCTGTAGGAAAGGAAGGCAGGTGATGAAAAGAAGGTTGAGCAAAGACACTCGTCTGGAATGCCCAGGAAAGCAAGGACTGAGGCGGGTCTGACCACAGTAGAGAGGGCAAGCTGGGGCAGGTGAAGGGTGGAGAGAAAGCAGAAGCCAGCTAAGAGTCTTACATAACAGGCAGCTTGCGCCATCTTTCGGGAGTCCATGTGGCCAAGTTGTTTCAGAAGCTCACTGGGCTGCTGTTGGCAAGGCAGATGGAGGGGAGGGACTGCACTGTGAGTCTCTCCACAGCTGCCAAGCCCATCCGGCTGCAAGCATAAAGCCACAGGAATTTATTTATTCCCTGTCCCGCGCTGTGTGAGCATGGGCTTCTCTCCACAGGAGAATTATTCACCTCTTGCAGAGGTGAGTAACCAAAGGAGCCTATGGTCTACACCCATGGTTCTCAGCTAGGATTTTGCCTCTTAGGGGACATTTGGCAACCTGGAGACAGGTTTGGTCATCATAACGGGAGAGGAGGAGGAGTCCAGAGATGCAGCTTCACGTGTCGCAGTGCACAGCACGGCCCCATGACAGAGAAGTACACAATCCGCACATCCACAGAGTCCCCGTTGGGAAACCCTACTCTGAACAAAGATATAACGAAACGAAGGTGAGGAAGGGTCGGGGAGACACCCTACAGATGAAGAGCATTTACCAAAATCTGCTGCCCCAGAACAGATGAAAATTATAGCAAGATGTGCCATGAACAGGTGATTGCCTTTATAGAACAAAAGTTTAAAGCAGAGATTATAAGCTTAAAAAAAACTAACACCAAACATATCTTCCATAGAAAGATAGAGAAATGAGTTAAGTTCATCCATTAGAAGACAAAAGATTGGGTCACAGAGCAAAACCCGATTTTATGTTGTATATCGCTGTTATGGTTGATACATCGTTCCAGCTTGGGGAGTCTAGAGGTTTGGCTAAGTGACTCAGCAGGAAGCCAGCGTGATTACTTTGTATACATCCTGAGCCTGTGGAAGAGGAGCGCATGGAGATCATGTGAGAGCTACACGCCCCTTAGGTGGGGGTAGCCTGTTTATCTGTAAGGGAGGGAAAGACGCTGCTTGCCGCCATTCCTCCCTTTTGCTCTGGCTGTTTGCTGTTCAGCCGCCATTCCCCCCTTTTTGTGCTTGCTGCTTTTGCTGTCTTCCACCCCCATGAACTGTTGCCCTTCAGCCATGCCAGCCTGCGTGGAGCCAGCTGAGGATGGACTGAAACCTGCACAAACTGTGAACTAAATAAACCTTTCCTTCCTTAATTCTGGGCATCAGGTATTTTGTCTCGCAAGGAGAGAAAAGTAAACAAGACAATCACATACATAAGATGTCGTATACAAGAAACAGTTCAAACAAAGTTATTCAGCAAGTTCAAAAGTAGGGTGGCAAAGGTACATAAGGAGAAAGAAACACTTCTGTTTTATTTTGCAGTAAATGTCTGAAGCATTTACCAGCTTGGCACTGACTTGGGCTAAGTCTGAGCTTAGACCGACAGCCCCGTCAGCAGTGGGCACAGCACTTGTGCTGGGCGGTTCGTCTTCTGAGCACAGAGGCCTGGAGCTCACCAGGGCCCAAAGCATGGTTCAGACACTGCGCTTTGTTGAGTCTTCAGAAGCCCAGCTGTGGGGCAGAAGCCAGGTTCAGGGTAGGGCAATCTATGTCCGTTGCCGAGGGTCAAAGCAGCTTCTCCACAGGAAGCAGAGCCGGGAAAGGCTGAGTACCACTGATGTGCTATGTTCCTTTAAGAGCTGGTTTCCTCTCCTGCACTCAGGTCCCCAAAAGAAAATAAAATAGGACCACTAATTTTTAAAGATGGAAAATTATCTGTATTTGTAGCTAAGACAATTTGCAACGTGGAAAATGCAGAGTAATTAACTAAGGTCTATTAGAACTAACAAGAGTACAGTAAGGAAGCTGGTTAAAATATGTACAAAAATCAATATTTTCCAATAAAGCAACAATAGCTGTTGGAAAATTTATTGGAAAAAAGATCCCAGTGACCAGCGACAAAATTGTATGTATTTTACCACTAGAGGAAAAATTATATATATTTGCTACACTTTTGAAAACGTGCAGGAACTTTATGAAGAAAATAGCTTTTCTAAGAGCCAAAAAATGGTTATAAAGTGTTTGTAAAACACCATCACAGCGTGGTCCCAGGGGAGGGAAAGAGAAAAGGAGAGGGAGATGGGGCTGTAAACAGCCACAGTACAAGCACAAGCAGTGTGCCGGCGCGAGGCTCATTACTCTGTACTAGCAGTGTGCACCAGTAAAGGGCAGAGAGCTCGTGCATGCACACGTGCACACACACTCGCATTTTCTCATAGACAGCAATTCCAACAGACAGTCACCAGCATATCAGTATGGTTGTCTCTGGGTGGCAGATCAAGTGTGATTTGTAGCTTTTGCTTTACTCTCTGCTTATCTATATTTTATACTTTAAAAAATTAACACAGATTATTCTGTAATAAAACAGAGAGAGGGAGAGGGGAGGGGAGGGGACGGGGAGCACACCTCTGTGAAGCCCAGTGATGCTGTGCCTCCATTTTGCCTGTCCTGGTACCCGCTGTCATTTACCTACCCCAGGGCCACACTGTCATTTCCTTCTTCCTGTTGGGCAGCTGTTGTTCCCTCAGGGACAGCCAGTAACCCCAGCTTTCCTGGAACCCTTCTCTAAGCCACGATGAGCTACATTTGGAGTCACAAAGCCAGGAATAATGGACTGTAGATGGATCCTTTCATTTTCCCTACACAGACCTAAAAAAAAATGCAGTGTGATTAAAGGAAAACTAGTGAATGGTTAAATTTTTAAAATTACAGTAAAAGATACATGCTATTAATCCCCTTCCTTAAAATACTCATCTCGCTTGGAACAGACCAAGCCCATCGTTCCTGCCGCTCTGAAGCAGGTCTGCAAATCCTCCTTTGCGTCCTCTGTTGAGCTGTCCTGGCTGCCTCCATGTCCTGAACCCATTCGAAGCGTTTGCCTTTCAGAGTCCTTCTCACTTTGGAGAAAGAGCCGGAAGTTGCATGGTGCAGGCTCTAGTGAGCAAGGTAGATGAGGACTCACCTAATGTTTTTATTTACCAAACACTGTGGTAAATATTTTGAGTCAATTCAGGACATTAAAGCCCAGCCACGAATAGACGAAACAGAGGCAGCGAGACCGGCGGGGTAAGTGTGCTCCAAGTGAAGGGGTGTCGGGTGGAGTGGGGCGGAAGGGGTGCTTTCGCTGGTGAGGTCCCCAAGGAAAAGAAAGCACACGGAGCCGACATCAGCGGCAACAGCAAGCAGCGTCTCTTTGTTGGGCTTGTACATATTGGCCGTTACCAAGGTTTGTGTTCTTGTGTACCGCTGTGAGCGTGTAGCGCACGCGCGCGGTTGTCTGCACTAAGTCCCGTTCGTGTAGGGGACCCGGTTGTGCGCCTGCGCTAGACAGAGACGTAGTATCCTTAGGCGTCCTCAGCAGCCTCGGGCTTTGAAGCAATCCGAAGTGGCTCCCCATAGGGAGAGTATTTTGAAAGAAATTCATGTTAACATGTCTTTCACTGTAATACTTTTTTAAAAATTAATTTAAACATCCACTGTATGTTCATCACACTTCATAACTGTAGGAAGATCTTCTGTGAAGAGGTGGGAGTTATTCTTTGAAAATTTAAGCCGAATTGAGGCTCCTGACTCCAAGGACGGTAGGAACGTGTAACACTCTTCATGTTGCCTGCTGCTAAGCTTTCAGTATTATTGCCAGCATGTTCTAGAGATGGAAGCCATGGGATTGACTGCCCTGTGGGGACAGAGTGGAGACTTGGCCAGGATCTGGAAACCCCAAGTCCTGCGCCAGCAGTCACCGGAGTGCGTCACCAGTTAGAGAGGTCCTGCCGCTGTGCAGCGAGGGGGCCAGGAAATTCTCACCTCTGCGCAACCCCAGGCTTCATCTCCGAGCGCGCAGAGCTTGTGGATGGGGTCATCAGGACGCTCATGGGTTCTGGCTCCCTACCAAAGCGCTGTGAGGAAGAGCGGAGGCAAAGACCGACAAGTGCAAGAAAAGGTGCCCCACGAGAACAGGGGCTCTCTGCGGGGAGCCTCGTCACCCGCCCTTCCCATCCAGACCCAGAGGCAAGGTCGAAGCAGAGCCAGGACTCTGCAAACCCCAGGAAGCCTGAGCCCTCAGGGTCAGCCCTCTCCACTTTTGGTTCAGTTCTGTTCTCTCACTGGAAAGGGGTGATGCTGGGGTGCGGAGGCACAACAGGTGTTCCCTGTAGCTTTGTCGCCGCCCACTGTGGTTTGCTTCTTTTATTGAACAGGGGTCATGATGTGTCAAGGGAGTCAGCAGGCTCTCACAGGTCTTGCCTGCCTTTGCCAATCTCCGCTGCTGGTCCCCAAACTCACCTGGTACCAGAATTATAGCAGTAAACCCTCTAGGAACGTCCCATGTTGAGGCCCTGGGTGCCTCTTAAATGAATGAGGCCACTACCTCGAATGAGTTACTACCACCTGCACACAAGCTCAGGAAGTCAGCTGTGACCTCTAGGAAGCCGCTCTGGAGGGCTGTTCAGTGTATACCAACAACCACATGG